TATAACTAAAACAGGCAGACTTTTGGTAACTTTTGGTAACTGAAGTTTTCTCATGCATATTAAGAGCCTCGTTCATAATCATAAATGATCAAAATAATTTTTTAAACGTACATGTTTGCCACATATTTGTAATTTATTCAGAAAACAAACAATAATACTTGAAATATAATGATAGTTTATAAAACTGTAATTGTAAGAGCGACTTATCCTTACATGTCGATAGAATAATAAATAATGATAATTATAGTAGTAATCAAATTTATATTGAATTATATCGTGACATTTTTTTACTATCCATAGTAGATGATTTGTGTCGTCAACGGTTGATCAATTTTAATTTAAATTTTGACGCCTCTCACGCGCCCTTTTGATTTTGGCGCCCTATACCGTCGCACGCAACAATCGTATCTAAAGCCGGCTCTGGTCCTGTTGCCCAGAGCAGCAAATTTTTAAATTTTAGTAACAATTTTCTATTCTGTAGATAATAATATATCCCCATGGAAATATTAAATTATAATTTGAATAGCAAGGCTCCCAGACAACAGTGATAATATCAATGAAATATAACAGATATTAGTACTAGAATTTTTCAGGAATTTTTGTATAAATAAATGTTAACAACTTTATAAGAGTTATTAACGAAAGTTTAGAATTTATATATAAATTGACGAGAGTCAAGAGTATAACAGTAAAATGGGTATAGTTTATTCGACGTTGAGAAGAATTCGAGAAGCGTTCAGCAGCAGATCGAAAACAACCGAATCGAGAAGTGAAACCGTAAGTTCCTGTACACTTGTATTCAATTTAAATTTCCGAAAAATAAATATCTTTTGTGCGCAATCAACATAATATTTATTTTAACGCAGAGAAATTCACAATCGACGAATTCATGGTTCAGAAGACTTCAGAATCGTATAATGTCCCGCGTGCACCGGTTTACTAATCGATCCTCAGTACGCGTTCGTGAAGACACGAAGATACTGAGTTGCGATTCTCCGGAATCTGTAATTGTGAATCAAGTTAGTATTCTTTTAATATCGTATAATACCGCTGAATTTTTCAAATTAAACTCTAACCTTATATATTGCCCAAACGAAACATTTTAAGTTTTATAATTTTTAAATTATATATATCATCCACCAAAAATTAAATAAAGATTCATCGATTAATGTTTCCCTTACAAAACTGCTCGTTTCAACTTGCAATTTATTTCGTTGTTTATACTTGATTATATACGTTTCAAATAAAATGAAAACAATAATATCGTATTAATGAACAAAACAATTTCACATCTTAAATTGTAACCCAAGTCATTCCAACTTTTAACAGCGGGAGAAAGAGGGTGATAAAACACAAACATGACAAATTACCTCGTAAAATGAGGCGTAAATTGTAATGTTTGAAACGTTTATTCTCGTAGCGTTTAAAAAACTAAATAAGCGATATTTACGTACACGAAAACACAAGCCAGACAAACATTCTCTACTAGTTAAGAATTATCGGTACCGGTATGTCCACTTTATAAATTAAATTTTTTAACGTAAGAAAATAAATTGATTATAGTGATTTACATAATGCAATAACGGAAATAAGTTAATCATGCGATGACTTCTGACTGTTGCGACAATGTACGGTAGATTTAGTTCGCATGTTCAGTAGCGGAAAATGCTCAATGTTAAAGAAACGTTCCCACGGTGTGGGGGTTCGGCGAGCCTAGTATCCAATAGACTTGGGATTTACAAAATTTAATTTTGAAAACAGATTTATTTTAGTTGCCGTAGCTTGGGAATGATCGAAGGAATTTTCTATATTTTAATCGATCAATAAAATATTGACAATTTAAGAAATTTATGTATTGAAGCACGTATTTATTTTTCGCAATAATGAAAATTCCTTCGATCATACTTTAGTAAAGCTGTTGAAGAATTTTCAATTAATTTTAAAAATTCACAAAAAAAAAAAAAAAAAATGAATTTTTTTTTTATCCATCACACCCCAAGCCCCTAGATTTTGTTGAGCTCATGGCAAGTTTTACATGATTATTTTTATCTACAGCTCCCTTAATAAAATAATTATAACTAAATTATAAATAATTGCCGACTGGCAAATAATAATTTATCATCAATGAACTAAATTTTTGTTTACCATAATAACACAAAGAATAGATAGAATTTTAAAATTAAATTCCTATGTTTTTCAAATTTAATACTATATTATTCACTGTGCCCCCCTTTCAACAGACACCCTGAATAGTCAGGTCACCCATAATTAACGTCAATTCAGCACGTAAAAATATTCGGTGTTCGTTATTCGCCACCTTCCCACACATGGTCAGTAAAGTTGACACGATTCAAGGGAAATTACCAAAATAGTTTTTTTTAAATTCAATCTCGCAACTCAACGATTATTTGACGTTTGGTCAGGTTATCAATTAAGAAAATATTAATATCTTAACGTAATGTTCATTAATTGTACGAGTTGTGCTTAAGAATAAACTACCTATGGATTTAATCTTCATTCATACGTCATTATCAATATTGTTAAACAGTAAGAACCCCCTTATTTAAAATAATGGTACCAAGAATTAAATAAATAATGAAAAAAAAAAGCAGTAGGAATGAGTTAATTTCGAATAGTTAATTAATTTTAAAATAAATGATGAATTAGAATATCTTTAGATAAGTATAATAACGCTACAACCAATCGACCAAAGTATGAATTAATATAATATCAACAAAAATAAACATCTAAAGTATTTAAATTTTAAAAATTTGAAATTTAGCGAATACAATTTAATACTTTATCAAATAATCGACAATTTAAAATAATATTAATTTATATTGAGATAAAAAAGACATTCTGGCCTCTGAGAGATTTGAATAATAAACTTAAAATCTGGAATATTATGATTTTCTTCATCTCGTATTTAACCTTGTGGTTGATAATGCAATCGGAAAAGTGCATTCCAGTTTTCCCTGTTTACAATTTTTTCTCTTCAGTTCTGTGTAGCTTGATAGTCTAACATTGGAGATAATTTGTTCGATAGATTAAGTTCTTGGACATCCATGGTGTCTCTTACCCAGTGGCGTAGCCTAGAGGTTGGTTGAGGGGGCTGCAGCTCCCCCCTCCGAAATGTTAAGAAAATTATATTAATGGTCTATAAAAATTGCTAAAAAAGTAAAAATATTTAAACATTTTAGTATTAACATTTTACAGCTATCTATCTGTGGTAGTAGGTATTTAATACATATATTGTTATGTATCGGTCGCTAATTCAACTTCAGAGTCAAAACTTGTCGGACTCGCATTATTATCTATTCATAGAGACATTAAAATTTTAGATGATCGAATATTTGATACATTTGTTTACAGCGGAAATGCTTAAAGGTTAAAATTTTCACTTATATTTTTTGTCATTTTATAATAAAATTAATTAAAAATGTTAAAAAGTAATTAAATAGGTATTGTTAATTATTTTTATTCATCATATTGTATTCATGTTTATTAAGTAGAGGCTTGTTTTATTCTATTAACTGATGGTATACTCGTATTATATCATGTCCTATTAAAAAAAAAAATTCATTGCTATTTTTATTATTTTTCAATAAGTAATTCGTGAAAACTAATTTATTTTATATTACTACAAAATACAATATTCAAAGTATTTAAAGTATACAGGAGTATTATTAAATGATATATATGTTAAGGGTTATAGGAACCAAAATCTAAAACTTAATTTTGGCATCCACATGTTAAACTTATGGAAGAATCTATTTAAACCATTGCTGTGTAAAAATTGTTCAACAATACATTTCAAAGCATTCGAGTATTCGTTGTTCTGCCTTATACAGTATTCAGGTTTCGTAGCTGTTTTGCCCCTTACGTATACTTACACGAAACATTTTTTCACCTACGTTATATTTATTTTATATTATATTGACATATTATGGAACTAGTAAATAGTTGAATTTAAACATTTCAAATATCAAAAACTAAAATTCAAAAAAAAAATCAATTTAATTGGTAACGATAACTTTCTAAAATGATTTTGAATAATTCAAATAATAACAACTAAACAATACGTTTTTACAGACTGGACGATGCCAGCTACCAGCGGTACAACCTGAATGCATAAATGCACCCAACAATCAATCAATTGTCAACGACAGTCGGTAAGAAAAACTGGATGAGGATTAATGTTGTGTAAAATTTCATCCAAATCATAAAATATGTTTTAGAATCACGCACAACTACAACGAACAACTGATCCCATACATGAACCCCGAACCATCAGCATCGGTTTTATGTACTGAGGCCTATGAAATAATGGAGAGGTCGACACCTGTAATAAGTGCCTGGGAATCCACAAATATTCCAACAACTTCATTGAATGCCGATGATTTAAGATCAAAATTATCGAATGAATTATTGGAACAAGAATCTAATAAATTGCTTACTGAATCAGAAAATATGAATAAGTTGAACATTAGGTCGACTAATTACTCGGTGTTTGATCAATCATGGGTATTATATTTATTGGTATAGGAATAATTTTATGTACAATATTCAAGTTTTTGTTTTCAGAATGATTATTTTGTGATTAAATCATTGATAACCACTATGACGTCGGCAAATTTTAAGTTATTAACGGAAGAATTGTTGTTTAACATTACGACTGTTGAACATTTAGAAAAAACAATTCAATTAATCCTAGAAATGGTATTTAAAATACTTTTAGATCAAAACATTACAGTTAACTTTTTAAACTTCATTACAAAATAAATACATTTATATTAATTGCAGGTGTTTTATAACCCTAAATCAATTCCCATTTATGTATATATTTTTTGTAAATTGGAAAATATCGAAAGAAGTTACAATAGCAGGTTTAATACTGGATCCTTCAAAAGGCAATTGTTGACGCAATGCGAAGATCTACTACACTCAGGAATGATTGAAAACAAAATTAATTCTAGAGGAATTTACACGTAAATTTAATTATTAGAATTTATTTATATTAGCTAACATTATTATGCAAACCATTTAGTTCAGATCTGTGAAATTATGTCCGTGAACACCTAATCTATTTTTAACATTTATATCATTACAATTTAATCCCGTATTTTAACGAACCAATTAAGGTTGTAATTAAATATGTTTAATAAATGTAAAAAAACTTATTTTTATTAAAATTATAATGTTCGATTTTTTTCCCCGAGCTCATAAAATATTTCCGTTGTACGATTTTAGATTTATCGGCAAGTTATATTTGAAAAATATGTTACCGTACCAAATTATAGTGGATTATTTAAACTGGTCGCTCGATAAGGAATCGCTGGCATACGTAGAGAACGTGTGCTATTTCCTAATAATCGTCGGAAAGAAATTGGATAAAGTAATAATTTTTTTTGAAATTTTATGATTTTTGAAACCGATCGTACCAATTAACGGTTGTAATTTTGTCGATTAGTCGTACAATCTGAAAGAAACTACGGAGAAGATGAAACTGCAGTTCACCTCGAAGGTTCTCAACGTGTGGTGCGCGTATTATTTTTACATGGAAAACTTCTCATTGGTCGGTGATGGCCAGTCGAACCGGTTACCACGGACGTCCGAACAGTTTGCGGGCGACGAGGGACCGGACGCGTTCCGGAACGTGGACGGTTGGCCATTGGGTACATTGAAGATCGTGACATCGAGGACGTCAGCATGGTCGATATGAACGGCGACGAGTTCGTGTCCGGCTGTTCGTCGGACACCAGTGGCGATGCACAGGGGGACAGAATTAAATCGTAGTTGGACGAAAGTTTTTTTTTCGTGTTACATCTTCTCAAAACTTACTAATCCACGCTCATTAGAAGCATTGTATTTGTTTTTGTATTATTGTAATTGTATGTGTATTTTGTACTTTGTACGAGTATTACGTTTTGAAATTATTCGAGTACGTTTTCATTCGAATATTCATAAAGCTATGTTCTATTATCAACTTTTTTACACAATTTGTTTATACTTGTAATAAAAAGACCGTAAATCATTCGGACTACTGACTTTCTTAACTGTGTTTGAAATCCAGTCGGATAATTATTTTATTCGAACAGTTGTGAAAAAAAAAAATCGTTCGCATAATATTCATTCGAATGATTATTTTGGATAAAATGTTGCACAACTTTACCGGTACGCGTGCATGGGCGTATTTTAGGGGGTCGCAAAGGGGCGACCCCCCCCTGAATCCGTATTTAAGGAATTGATTATATGTGAGAAACACAATGTTTACTTATGAAATAATATTGATGATATTTGGATTACATCTCTCTATCACACGTGTATTTAAAAACAGGGTACACCTTTTTTTTTTTTTAATAAAGCGGTGTTGTTAAGTCCGTTAAACCGGTTACCTGTTTATTTGCATCAGCCTTTAAATCCGTATGAACTGTTGAAATCAGATAAATAATTTTTATTAAACAAAAATCGATTAAGATAAAGGTTAAATTAAACTCAACTAAAATTATCTTCATAAAAATTAAAAAATTATCGTAATTAATTTCCATAATTTTTTTCCCACATTATATAAGTGGTTTTCAATCTGGTGGTCGTGACGTCCAAGAGGGTTACGAATCACAGGTTTGGGGGTCACCAAAAATAATGGATAAAATTATTTTTCCATAGTATTAAAAAAAAAATTAAGTTAATTATTGATTTTGTGAAATTTTTAAGGGTAAATCATTCAAAATTGTTTATCATGTAAATATTTTATCGGTAATTAAATCGAATTTTGATGAATAAAATAAGATTTTTTTTTGAAGAGGTCGTATTACAAACAAATAAAAAATGGGTGGGGGGTTCTCTATCCGAATAAGGTTGAAAACCATTGCATTATATGATTGTTTTATTAATTTTTAATGTATAATATGATTTTAGTAAAATAAGTTTTTTTAATAATAGTAATGAAACACAAACTGCAATATACTTTATTTTTTACTCAATTAGCATACTGCCATACTCTCAGCTTTTGCGATTGTTATTCATTTTAATACTAGTATTTTAAATATAATACGAAGTGTTAAATAATAAGAGAAACTTTATATAAACTTTTTATAAACATAAGACATCATAAATATCGAATGAAAATATAAAACTATTATTTTTTAAAAATTACATTAAAGACTTCATTAGATTACACTAGATTTACATTACATTATATTCATGATAACGTAATTGAACGGGACAAATACTAAAGTAACAATAAAGATACCGTGATTACCGTATTTTATGTTATCATATAATAGAACGTATAATATTCAGTGTTATTTTTAGGGGGTGACCAAAAGGAGAAGGGTACTAACAAAAACTTATACATTTCCAAAAAATGTATATATTTATAAATTATTTACTTCTGCTACCCTCTCAACGCAAAGATGTACGATACCTTCAAGATAGAAGGTCTGAAATAAACACTGTATAATACTAAATAGTAAAATAATTATTTTTAACTACATTTATACAGTCATAACTGCCATTGCGTTTTGAGGTTTCTGTTTAGCTGTATATTATGGTTTATATAGATGAAACAACTACAGATTTTATAATTGTCAGTGGAAGACATTAGTGCTAAAATGAAATAAAAAAAATAAGTCGTATCGTACAAAAGCACCAAAATTCAAGGTACGCACAGTGTGTTATAAATGTCGTACAAATGTATAAAAGTACAAACATGTGAAAAAGTTGGATTAAAAACCAACCAAATTATTAAATTTATATTTATAATTAATTATTGAAATTATTGTACAAATTCGCAACCGATTTATTAAATTTATATGCATTTCCGTGTATAATTTATTATTGATATTTTTTTCGTAAAATCGCAATTTTTAAATAACTACTTATATAAAATATTAATTTTGGCGCAAATGATATGTTATTTTTGCACCTGTGGCGCTTATGTCATATGTTAGGTATAACAAATATACAATATTAAATTGGCGCTTATGTACTACATATTTTGGTGCAAATGATGGGTAAATTTTGTAGCTTTTGCGCTTATAACATATAGCCATAATTGTAGCCTATGAATTTCAAACGAATCAATTGTTTAAGACAACATTTAAATACACGTGTACCCGATTTTCAATTAAACGGATATTCGGATACGGGTACACGGGATCCGTGTACACGTGTTCGTTAATACACGGTCAAAGCCGCGAGCTCTAATTTCGGTAGGTACTTGAAAGTATTGAAATTAAATCAATTATTTAATTCAACTATCAAAGTTTATTCGGTATAATATCTGTGGTATATTTTGTGACAATACTAACCTTGCTAAAAACTGTAAGGCATTGGATTTTAGAAGTCCATATCCATGGGTTCCACGGTAGTGTCCATGCCCGTATCCAAAAAAAAAAAAAAATGTTTTCGTTCACAACGGAAACGCAGTTGCGACAGCTCGTTAGCGCGTGTTTACATCGAATTCGAAAGATTCGTGCGCAACGCCGCGGCGTTCTACTGGCTCCCCGCGAGGTTTGGCACAGTTTTCTGCGTTTCGACTTTCGTTTTGCTAGATCTACGCACTCGGACCGAGACCGCCGCACGAATTTTCTAACGATTCGAATCCGTGTAACCTTCGGTTCGCCGTGCCGGGCTTTCGACCGTTTTGAATAACGTACACCTCAGAAATTCACGCGAGCCGCCTGATTAATGGGCACATTATTATAATTATAATTTATCATTGGTTTCGAACGGAATACGAATATAACTGCAGAACAAGCTCACGGACCAAGTCTACGTGTTGTTCGGTTTTAAGCGTCTACTAATCCGAAATATCGAATTTTTTCCTTCTCTTTATTATTAGAAATTTGGGTTATAGAAATATTTTTTCGTGCAACGATTTACAATAAATGTATTACCATTATCACTGTCCTTGAGGTGACTTCACACCCGTAGTATTGTCCCCGTATTACAAACGTACAACGGAACGAAGGTATTATAGATTTTAAGCGGGTTATGAGCTTTTTTTAAGTTGTAATATATTACATAATCATAAAAATGGATAAAAATGTTCTTTCTTTTGTGGCGTCGTCTTAAGGAGATATTATTATTGTTGTAAATGTATAGTTTAACAATCAAATACAACAGCCGTTGATCGCTAACGGCTTTTCTGATAAAAACAAAAACAAAATGGGATCAAATTTAAACTTATCGCAAAGAGTATAGGCTGTTGTTATTGTTATCGATCGTGTACGTTTAACATTTACCTGCGTGATCCTGGAAAACGTTATATCATTAGCGAAAACGAAGAGGAAGGGAGATGTTTGATGTAATTTTGTAGTGCTGCATAGAAAAATTAGATATGGAACAATATGTACTTTCAATGATGTACTATAGCAAACTCAAGGAATATAATTGTTGTTACAAAATAGTTGCCTACGGTTGATCGATGTACCAAATATAAGTAATTAAGTCTTGTCATGCAACACCTACTACGAGTATATACAACCATCTGAAATTTACTTGTATACAAATATACGCTTATACGCTTATCCCTGTACTCGGATAAAGGTCGACTCAAGGTATAGGCGAGCTTGGTACCTGCCTAGAGCGGCACATTAGTAAGAGTGGTATTTTCAAAATTAACCCGTATTTTTTTTTATTTCAATCAGTATTTGAAATCAGTTCTTGTGTGCATATGTAGAAACAAGTTGATAGAACTATACCCTAATACAGTGGTTTTCAACCTTTTGAACAATGCGGCACACTTCATCTCCAACACCTGCATGAGCAATCTCTAAATCACTTTTCATTTTTCTTTTGTTATTATAGTATTCATTTTTATTAACAATTTAATGTATATTATTTTTAATAACATCTATTAATGTTTTTTTAGTACATAAATAATGTTTAAAATGATGACATAATTTATATATTCCCTGGCCTCCAGGCACAAGGAGACTTTTTTTGGCATACTTCTTTTATCGCGACTGAAAAATATTTAAAAATATGATTTTTACGTTATAAAATATAGTATATTTTCAATATTTAATCCATATTTCAAATCAAAATACATTGTTGTATTTGTAGATAGTTATATTTTAACATGCGCTATAGAATAATAATGTTAATAAAAATCGTTTTGAAATTTAAATGAGGGTGTATAAAAACTTTTTTAACTTAAACAGACCTTCGGTTAATGTTTTTTATAATTAAAATTAATTGTTGTAAATAAAAAACATTCACATTTAAGTATTATTTTTTAGTGGCACACCGCAGTAAGAGAACGATGATTATTTTATTTATGTTTATTAAATAATTTAATTTTTACAAATTACATTATTTATATTATTAAATTTTAATAATATATAGTCTTAACTTTCTTACGATACATGAGTAATGTAACCGGGAATTAATTTTCTTTATTTGTTTTAGCATAGGAACCCATTTAACAGTGAAATGTGTGATCGAGAAGCCGATTTAGATTAATGTGGAAAACCAGTGTCAAGTACCTTCGCGCATAACTACATTGTTTTTATTCCAATAGTACATGTTGAGATCATGGGGTATACTTTCCATGCCTGGGTTCCGATCAACAGACTCAAATAAGCGGTTGATCGGGTTCCGAGAATTCAGTGGGACTGGTTATTATAATTACAATTACCTATGCAAAGGGTGGTCGTTGGCAATGATCGGAATAACACAAATAAGTTTTCGTCAATATACCAACGCGGACCCGGAACCTCGTCAATCTAATAATTCGAGGTAGGTGGGAATTTGGTGGCCCTAACAAGGGCCGTTTTAATTTATATATCCGTTGGATATCTAACTGTGACTAATATTTAACGTTGTTGTCGTCGTCACCGTAACCGTGTTGTCGCAGTCGTCGTAGTAAAGGTTCGTTGTCCGTGGTTGTTTTCACCGCAATAGTGATGGTGGTCGCAGTTGTCGTCGTCGTAATCTCCTCCGCTGTTGCCGCTACGTCGGCAGTCGTCGTCGTCGTCGCCGGAATCGTGGAACTGTTCTTCTCTTTTCAATACTTCTAACTGGATCGATAATATCGGTTTGATTGAAAAATGTGTATTGAAGCTTTGCTTTGGGGGAGTGGCTATGCCGTGAACTATTCCAGACTAGCGCCTCTACTAGTGGTGGGAAGTTTAGGGAAATGGTAA